CTTTGCGCCGACACCACGACCAGAAACAGGTCGGATGATGCTGTCGCTCGCGCACAAGTTCGGATGGAGCCGTCGCCAGGGCGATGTTCCAGTAGCATTTCTAAACCCAGATCTAGACGTAGACCTATACATGGAACTACCGGAAGGGTTTAAATCAGAAAACAAAATCATATTGATCAAAAAAGGATTGTATGGCCTCAAGCAAGCAGCATCGGTCTAGTACGACGACGTAAAGGCATTCCTAGCGACACAAGGGCTGTCACCAACAACGACAGATGTTTGCTTGTATACAAACAAACAAAGGGACGTGTTCGCAATCATACACGTCGACGACTTCCAAGTCATGGGACCAAAACTGGAAAAGATAGAGGCACTGATGAGGTCACTTCACAAGAAGTATAAACTTAAGTCAGTTAAGACAGATTTGTTCCTTGGAATAAACATCAGCAATCCCGACAAAGACACCTTGAAGCTGTCGCAGGGACAATACACAAGGAAGCTCCTCGAGAGACATGGAGTGTCACAGAGCAAGACAGCCAACACACCAATGGAAAGATTGTTGGAGCCAAACGACAAAGAATGCACTGCACAATCTAAGCATGAATACAATTCAATAGTTGGAGGGCTGCAGTATTTGGCGAACAACACGCGACCAGACATAGCCCACTCTGTGAACCACTTGGCCAGGTTTCTAAACAACCCATCGGACGGGCACCACACGGCAGCACGCAGAATGCTGCGGTATATTGCAAAAGATCCTGAGAAAGGAATAACATTCTTGAAAGGTCAAGGAAAGCCTCTTTTAGAGGCATACTCAGATGCCGACTTCGCTGGGGACCCATTGTCAAGCAGGTCAACATCAGGATCGCTGATAAGACTATCTTCGGGACCAATCAGCTGGCGATCCCACCTTCAGCTAGATGTGGTCCTCACAACAACCGAGGCCGAATACCTGGCAGCAACTGAGACGGGCAGGCAACTGACATGGGTCAAATCCCTCCTGGAAGAATTGAATTTAAAGGACTCTGTCGAGGGATCAACACGCACAGCACTGTTTGTTGACATCCAGTCGGCAATATCATTGATCAAAAATCATGAGAATCCCAAGCGCTCAAAGCACATCGCACTCCGGAATCACTACTGTCGCAAGCTATATCGGATCGGAGAAATCTCGGTAGGTGTCAGAGCAGCATATAGACAGCAGGGCGGAGATATGGGTCAAAGAGGTGGTGTTCAGACTAAAGGGCGCCATCCTACATTATGCATGAGATAGGTGCATAACAGCTCGGCCAAAAGGCCAGACCAGAATCATAGAACACTAGACTCTGGTTATCTCCATATATATAGATTATACAGAAGGCAATCCTGACAGTCCCATTGCTAGTTCTAAATAGCACATATGTCGATTTTCAGGAGATTCCCGCACGAAAGCCTCAAGCTCATCAACTTGTTCCACGTTTAATTTAGGTGAGCATTGTTGAGACTTGATATTTACATTATGATTAGGGGGTAAATAATATATGGGTCACATATTTACCTCACTGCTAGTGGTCACCAGTTGGGCAGGAAGTCTGCATGACATGTTGTGTTATGGAAGATCAAGGACACGTGATGGTGGCCTTCGGATATTAAAGAGGAGGCGCGAAGACAGATCACTCACTCCGTTCAGGACACGAGTAGGAGATATTAGTATTGGCCCTACAGAGCTGGATCACTTGTGGACTGTGAATGGTGTATATATGACTGGATATGTCATGTAGAGACATGATTCATTCATGAGTTGATATTGTTCAGACGATCATGACTATATCACAACATCATGTACAGACACGATTCATTGTTTGTACCTGTTGTATAAACCATGACTATGTCTCAATGATATGAGAAACATCATTGACTAGTTACTAGAAACCTAATCAAGATCCTAAACACACAACTGAGACTAGGAGAATTTTACTAAGTAATTATTCTGATGAATCCAGATCTAGAGGAACATAATCTGGTTGCTTGGCTCGAGGTATATGAACCTGAGCATATCATGTATTATAAACAATATAGAAATCTATCTCAATCACAATCATCATCTTAATTCATGTCACCATCAATAGCTGCAAAGGACAGTTTAACCATTTCCTTATAGGATATATGTATTGTAATTTTGTTAAGTCTTTATTAGTATAACAATTGTTATTTTATTCCAACAAGCATCCTTTGCGAGGAATGGGATTCTCAGTCTCTCGAGCACACGCAAGTTGCACTTGCCTTCTTGAGAAGCCAAGTTCATCGGATATATGTTGTAGTGTCAAGCTAAGTCTTCTTAATGTTCTTATTTCAATACATTGATTGCGAGTTAGATGCCTGCCAACTTTAGTTTCTGAAGCAGACTTTTCGAGAGACATTGTTTGGCGGAATAGAGGATAAATTGATAGTGGTGATGATGATGAAGGGTTGTGCAGCCAAAAATGACGTTGAAGATGTCTCTCTAAGCGATTGTTGGAACAAGACGATTGGACCATACTTCGTGGCGAGCGGGGTAATGAGGAGAGACATACTAACCTATTACAAGCTAGCCCAACTGCGCCTACTGGGCTAATCCCTTAAACATCCCAGTTTCGGGGTTAACATTTTATTTTCCAGAGGCACTGTATACGAGACCAAGTACAATTCCTCCGGACCATAGCGTGATAGTGATGTATTACAGGTATGGTTAGAACACTAGGAGAGCCCCACAGCACAGAAAAAGGAGAAAGTTAAGCCTCAGTGGCGTGGAGGCTTTCACGTATCTAAATGAATAGATAGATGTAGTGGAAGTTCTCTCCTTAGAATTATGATTTACCACCATCGACCAAATAGTTGCTCGAGCACCTGTCCATCGCAACCGTGACATCAAGCTACCCATAATCTACTTGAGAGAACGGTGCGAATGGTGTGCCACTGCACCTTCCAACCCTTAGTTCGTAAACTTTCTGTACAGATACCTACTGCACAGTATTGTACGAGTCTACTTACTGTCACCCACTAAATATAACATCATCCACTCCTCATCACTCCGCAATAAAACTGCCGCGTAGCTCATAACCTTAACAAAAGCTGGTTAGGCGCAGGGCGTCGAATCAGGGCAGCAAATCTTTTCCTTCACATTTTTAGTTTTCATGAAGATTTCTGGCTATATAAAGCTAGCTTCAGTGGTGGTTCTAGGTACTTTAGGGGCATGCACGCCTGTCTAGCCTCCTTGGTGTAGAGCATTAGCCTGATACGTCAAGTTACTCAAATCAAATATATGTCCAACACCCCTCTTCACCACTTGTGGAGCTTAGAGCAGAGCTTAGAGCAGATCTGGACTCAACTCATTAAATTCTATTAATAAATGACAGATTTAGATTGCAGACACGACGACCCGACTACCAGTTGCTAGTCATCTAAGCCACACGTACTTTGAAATATTTTAATAATTAATTTGCTGCCAAAAAAATGATGCTGGATTAAAATAGACGGAGATGCCGGCGCTCGTCGGAGGGGGCGTCATGATCTATTTTGAGGATGGTATGAAATGAGGGAACGAAGTCATATTTCTGCTAATAAATAGGTGTCTCTCGTTCACGACTCTGCTCGCTACTTTAAAATCTTCATTTGTATCTAGTTCGGAGGACAGATTGAATACAACACCACCTCAAGACCCTCACACCTTCTCGGGCGTACGAGAGACGCGTTTTGGCCGAGCCCGCTATCAGGGCTTGTGGATGGTGGAATGAGGTTTTATTTTTTTATTCGTAGTGAGGTGGAATGAGTTTAGGACGGTGACCAACATGACTTTCAAGGAAATTTGCAAATTACAAGACAAGACGCTTCAGTAAAATTGTAGTCTCAGAGCTCCGTTGAGCACATTGGAGCAGCTGCCATAACCAATGATATTGCAGACTACTGTCGTATCATAGCAACTAATCAGTATCTTGGGTGTAAACTGTTGCTATTGCAACTCTATAACTATCACTGCGCATTAACTGTGATATTGAGTACACCCATAACGCAGCTGGCCAGGCGCAACACAATATTACAGGATTAGTTGGTGAGACCCGCAGGCTGTTGGCTGCTGGAAACCCCAGCTCTCAGCTAAGCAGGAGCTTGAGAGTTCCTCGAACTCGATGGATTACCAGCGAGACTACAAGGGATCTGAAGACCAATTCCAAAGATGTAGAACTTTGAAGTTAGGATTAACTGACATGCCATCAAACAACTAGGAACACTCTGTAGATTTCGTGAAAAGGCCAGGCTCCTGCTGAAGTTCTGAGCTTGAACGACGACGGAGGTAAGTGCGGAATCAGTGTTGGTGGTTAGACCGATACAATAAGTATTATATGAGGTTGTCGATGGAAGATTTGAGTGGAAAAATTTGGATGGAGATGTATGGTTCCGAGTAAAGTGAGATTGCGTGTGGGCGTATCTGATCAACTGTGGTTTTTGACCAGTGTGCAATCAATAGATGTATCAGCCAGGAATATGAGGCTAAATGCATGTGTGTCAGTCCTGGGTACGAGAAGCCTAATAGCTGCATTTGAGACAGAGTCATCCGCTGGAATGCTAGTGTGAAATGAACACCATTGTGTGTGTACTTTCCGTGAAGGATGTATTGATGGCAATAATATAGGATGGGGAATTCGATAGTTTACTCAACCAGACTTACAAGTAAGTCATTCTTGCCATTCCGAGATATATCATATTTCACCAGCTCTCACTCCATCTCAGCACGGTGAATCCATTAACAACAGTACCGAATAGAGTCGTGGAATGGTCTACTGTGGTGGGTCTTCACACATATACATTTTGTAATAGTTGATGCTCACAGAGCCATGTGATCTTTGATACCATAGCTGGCAAAAAAGAGTGACCAATTCAATCAGTTTATAACAGTGCATTATTGAATCGAATGAACTCTTGGTACATCATGTAAGAACCACTATGATAGCCGTGACAAACAAGAAACCAATAGTACTTGAATGCACTCAAAACCACCGTTTCTTCTCTACACACCTAACAGTCTGTCCATTAATTTTACCTGTTATCGACATGATTTCCCCTTTCATACTGTATGATAGTGAAACTTCGACCATTAAACCATCTGGATTAAAGTGTTAGCATGGGATAACAACTATTTGGCATGATTCCTGCAATCCTTTTTTTGGTTCGGTATATTCAAAAACTACATCACCACGTTTTTCATTTACTGAGTGCATTCTCCCAATTTCTACTGGCTGTTCTCCGACTGATTCATCGATTTTTTCTTCGATCAAACTTTTAGGGACAGTCACACTGCCACACTTTTGACTTTTAACAGCAAGTACAGGCATCAAATGGCTTATAAAAAGCGCAAGCGAGACAAAGCTTAGGGTTTTCATGTTGTAGGCGTCGCTTATGAAATTTTATATCTGTATATTTGAACTTGGTGGATTAGCCAGATTGAAACTTGGAATCTTGATAAGTCACGTTTAGTCAAGACATGAAATGGCAAGAGTAGTGTGAGGGATGTAATTACCTGTTTATGCTAAAAGCTACCTTGAAGATTGCTATCTTAATGTGCATGTCATGGTGGAAATAGTCCATTCTATATACATGAGGAAATGACAGAGGCTCATGCTTGCAGTGAAATTATCTCAAATCGCCCCATCAGTCCTGCCTTACCCACCCGCAATCAAACATGAAGTTACTTGAGCTCTAGAATATGATGTGTAGGCCTTGTTCAAAGCGAAATGTACAATAGGACAGGGACATGGATCAAGACATGGTATGAATGGTAGTGATAGCTATTGCTATCGTGTCCGGTTTTTTTATATTTCCAAACTTCGAAATTTGGAGACAATCGACTTTTTTCTTAGCATTAGTTTGATGCGCATCTGGGCAACACCCCGTCAGAGTTAGCTTGCGGGACATAGGTCCCAGAGGGGTTTGTGTCTCGGATATACTCTAATATTAGACTTTCCATGCGAACATCAACAATGACAGAACTTGCAAGGGAGTTGGGGATTTTGTGTCCTCCAATGGAGCAGCAGCAGATTCATTCAAAGACAAATCAGATTCAACGGATCTCAGACAAATCAACTCTTATCATGCTGTTTCCAGTTATCCAATCAAATCAATTTATTGCTATTAGCAAAGGCCAAGGACGAGTTAGACAAATCCTACGGCATCTACATGTCAAAGGAAAAATCTTACTCGTGGCTGGAGAGTGTGGAATGAGCCAGACACTGAACACCCCGACGGATGGTTCACCCGTTTGTCTGGAATATTCGTCCTTTGGGCGCAGTGCCTATTAAACTATGATCGAGAGGGATGAGGGCGAGTGCTTACCTTCCTCGTGGATGAGTCTCTGCTACTGCATGACTCGGGATGCCGCACTCAACACATCTGAGTTTGGGCGAGTTAATAGCTCATCTCATACACCATATATAGCAGGTCTCAGAGATGGACCATCCATTAAATTTAGGAGTTGGGCTTCCTTGACCCTATATCCTGGAGGATTGAGTTCAAATTCTATTCGTGTCAAACTCGCGCCCTACACCCACATGGCCTCATACGGATGTGTGATGTGCGTCGACTCGCTACTTACTATGTGCACGGCTTTCCTCTCCTGAAAAAGTATAGCAACTAGAAGGATAAAGAAAACGAGGCAGTGTGTCCAAACGAGAGCGTTCTGATCTTCTCAGCAGTAGAGTGATAAAATAAAAGCCGAATAACCCTCGGTCCAAGGTTTGTCAACTTTGGCATCAGATTATAACAGGCAGCGCCAACATGAAATTCAAAGATACACCCTTGAAAATCCACCGTAACCTAACCAGGGCCCAAAGCAGTGTCGCCATTCAGCTAAGAAGCCAGCATATTGGACTCAATTCTTACCCGCGCCGAAATAAAGCACCCGGAGCAGAAAAGCCAAGCTGTCAATGTGGATATCCGTCGCAAAACGTCAAGTGCGTGGCGTTGGCGTGTCCGCAGGGGGGCAAATGGAAGAGGCGACTTTCTCCGACACGCTAAAGACAGATCATTTGATGCAAAGATGAACAGCCGAGAAGATGCGGCTGGAATCCCACCGTGGATACTAAGCAGAGGGTGGATAAAACTGTTACGACTTGCCGGGGATGTCGAGGTAGCAGTGTCGGGTAAAATAAATAGATCTGGAAGGGGAGAGGAGGGAATCTACACTGGTTGAACAGCGTACACTGCACTTCCTGAAGGAAAACCCACATAAATTGCTAGGAATATAAAAAGACAGAATCAGTTGCTCTTCACCAAATTGGTTTCCTCTTTTGTAGTAATGCAGATGGTCGCCTGTACGGACCCATAGGGTGGCCGATCGGGTTAATCGAAATCAAAGTCAAATATCATATTAGAATGATGAGTCTCCTGAAAGATGGTATCTGTTAGAATCTGGAATAATTGGGGCTTTCAAGTAGGCCTCGTTGTTGATGCACACGTGACTACTAATCTCGTACTTAGTTTTACATCGGTAGTTACTTGAATCAATGCGCCCTACCTATCGTGATTATGAGCTTATGTTATTTAATGGGCTGAAGCACCTGTTTAGCATTATGCGCAGGGCGTGATAACCTTGTGGTCTGATTGTCATGGATTGAGGACTATGTTGACCTAAGCTCCTGCAGGACCCACCAGCAATAGCGTTCTCGATTCTCTTTACTCTCTCACCCTCCCATTCGAAGGCAATCTGCTTATCTCTGGAGATTTCAACCTACACCACGCCAGATGGCAGCCATCATGGACCCGCAGCCCCTCCCCCGGCGCCGTAAAATTCACAGAATGGGCAGATAAAAATAGTCTCTCTCTTCTATCACCTGCAGATATGGCAACGCATGACCGAGGCAATGTACTCGATTTAGTTCTCGGATCCAGCCCTCTAGTTCAAAAGACAAAGTGCACCCTCGCTCCACACCTGGACACGACGTCAGACCATGCCACAATACTCACTTTAGTAGATTGGGAAGGCTATACTGAACCCCTCCGCAGGCTCAGATTCGACACGTTGGATAAGGATCTTTTCCTCCGTCTCCTATCCATCAATATTGATGGTATTAGTCCAATTCCACTAGCTTCCACCAGGGAGGCGCTGGACAGGTGTGCTATAGAGTTAACAGAAGCTATTCGTACAGCATACACGGGCGCAGCCCGCCGCTCACTAGGCCATGGTAAAGGGAACCCATGGTGGGATATATCATGCAAACAGGCTCGCCAAAGATACAAGAATGTCCGTTGCGGACCCATAACAGAGGAAGGTGTTGCCAGAGAGAGAAAGGAGTATCGGGGCACGATTGCAAGGGCAAAGAAGGCATACTTCACTAACAAGATTGCCGCAGCCAGTACGGGCAAGGACATCTTCGCTCTGACAAAATGGCATAAGTCCACGGGTAACTTCCGATCCACTCCCCTTAAAGATCCTAGGTCTCCAGACCGTCCTCCTGCAACATCGTTGCCAGAAAAAAGGGAAATTCTACTCGGTAATTTACTCACAAACCTGACTGTAGTGGATGATATCCCTTTGGATACCCCGACAGTTGCAAAACGCTCCATTTCGTTCCCACCACTCTGCCAGGACGAAGTTCAGGATTCGATTCTTAGAGCAGGAAATACAGCCCCTGGGGTTGACGAGATCCCGACTGCCATATTGCGTATAGCTTGGCCCCTCATCGGAGAACATATTTTCTCACTCTTCAAAAGCTGTCTCACTCTCGGTCACCATCCTGTCTGCTTCCGACAAGCTGTCTTAATCATGCTTCAGAAGCCAAACAAGGCAGACCTATCTTCTCCTCGCTCATACCGCCCGATAGCACTTCTCTCCGCACTTGGGAAGGGGTTGGAGCGGCTGATAGCCAGACGTATAGCTTGGATTGCGACCCGAAATACGATACTCACCACCCAGCAGTTTGGTGCTCTCCCAGGAAGATCGGCCGTCGATCTCACCACCTGTCTTACACATGATGTCGAAAGAGCTTTGAGCGAGGGGCGCACGGCTAGCATGCTGACACTCGACGTGAAAGGAGCCTTTGATGCTGTGCTCCCAGGCCGGCTTGTCCGGCGTATGCGGGAGCAAGGCTGGCCAGAGTTCCTTGTCAACTGGGTAGCCTCTTTCGCTACTAACCGTTCAGTACAAATCCGTCTCGATGGCGAGCTAGGTCCTCTCCAGTCAATCAACTGTGGTCTCCCACAAGGCTCCCCTGCCTCACCTATCCTTTTCATGCTCTATATCCCCTCTGTTCAAGCTGGGAAACGTCTCTAGGAGGCTTGGGTATGCTGACGATATCGCAATTCTTGAGACCCAAAAATCACTTCACGACAATTGCATCTCTTTAAAAATGGCACTGAAAGAAGCTTTAGAATGGGGGATAAAGGAGGGCATCACTTTCGACCCAGCTAAGGCAGAGCTTCAGCATTTTTCACGTAAACGGGCTGATAAGAATCCGGGCAACACCCCGTCGGTCAAGCACGGCAATTTCTCCGTATCTGAGAAAACAAATCGCCCATACACCAGATGGCTGGGAGTATATTTTGACAAAACACTTTCTTTTAAATGGCACGTCCGCATCCTTGCAAATAAAGCTCTAGTGGTGGCAAACGCGCTCCGCAGCCTTGGTAACACACTAAGTGGAGCCCCCCCTAAACTCCTACGCCAAGCAGTCACCGCTTGCGTACTACCTATCGCCTATTATGGAGCTGAAACATGGTGGCCAGGCCTGACACGCGCTATCTCCCCAACTCGGACCGTCTCAAACTTAGTGAAGGGACATCTCTCCCTCCTCCAAAAGGTTGTTAGAACTAGTGCAAGAGCAATTCTTCCAGTCTACCGAACAACACCAGCTAGCGCGCTATATAGAGAAGCAGGTCTTTCCCCTCCAGAAATCGCGCTGGACTCAAAACTTCGTCAAGCATCCCTCCGTATACAACGCCTCGATCCACGGCACCCTCTTCGCCGCCGGAACATTTGGATCCTTAGCCAACAGAGACGTGTCTCACGCCTTTCCAGGTGGGCCCTAAGCTTCCCGCCTACAGAGTATCTGGACCCTCTGGTCAACCCCCCTTGGTTAGCAAAGGAGAGTTGGTTCTCAAGGACTAGACGGGTCACTGCTGCCTCACATCAACTTCCTGAGGGGATCCCCTCACATGACTTAGTTATATATTCCGATGGCAGCCGCCTAGAATCAGCTTCGGGACCTTGCGTCGGAGGTGGTTTTGTAATCTTCCAAGCAGGCCACATGATCTGCCAGAAAAGAATACCTCTAAGCCCATCACTAGAGATATTTGATGCAGAAGCTGCAGCAGCTTTAAGTGCTGTAGAGACAGCAATAGATCTTACCTCTACACGCTTTGCAAACAACTTATGGGTCCTACTCGATAA